GAGGAGGAGGAGGAGGAGGAGGAGGAGGGGAATTTCTTAAATCATTCAGCAATGTGTCACTTTTAGGGTCTGCTGTGAACCAATCAGTTCTTAAGTCCTCCTATCCAAGATTCATTCATATTTATAAAGTACATAAATAATCAGTGGCCAGGGCTGGGGTTCTGGCTCAGCGGTAGAGCGCTTGCCTAGCACGTGGGAGGCACTGGGTTCGATCCTCAGCACCACATAAAAATAAACAAAATAAAGATATTTTTAAAAAATAAGTAAATAAATAATCAATGGCCAACTATAGTTCTAACATTAAAATAAATTAATTTTTAGGGCTGAAGATGTAGATCAAAAGTAGAACTCTTGCCTAGAATATGCAAGGCCCTGGGTTTGATACCCAGCACTGCAAAAATTTTATGTAAATGAAAAACTTTTAAAACTTTGTTTCGTCAAACAAATGAACACAGCACCTTTACTCCCCAAACTCACTGAGTGGTGAGTAGGTCTACCAAGGAGTGCCCAGTGAGAAGACTCATTTCTGCTTTATACTTTAATATAGACTAGGCCCAACCCAGACAATGCATCTGTGAAAAGAGTCAGGCAGCAGGAGCTGTGTGAACAGCAAGGCTATTATACAAAATGTTCAAGTCTGCTAGGCTATTTGAAACTCTCTGAAAGAAGCACAGGACGTATAACATAACTTTTACAGAATCTGCCCCTGGGATGTTTCCTGAAGAAGCTGATTCAGAGTAGAGGTTACCCAAGTGGTTTTTAAAGATAAAAACTGGTTACCTTGTTTTGTTTATTCCCCCCCAGGGCTGAAGACCAAACTCAGAACAACTATGAATAATGAGAAAAACAACCTACTCCTTACAGGTGCGCTCTGCCACTGAGCTAAATCCCCAACCCCAAGACTGGTTTGTTTGGGAGAGGGATACCCTCTAGAGAACAGAACTTTCATCTGTGCCTAAAAATAAGCTTTAAATGAGGCTGGGGTTCTGTCTCACTAGTAGAGCACTTGCCTAGCATGTGTGAGGGCCTGGGTTCCATTCTCAGCACTGCATATAAATACATATAATAAAGGTCCATTGACAACTAAAAATATATATTTAAAAAACAAAAAGCTTTAATGCCACTGTCATTGTTTCCTCCAACTCCCTCTTATTCATGAGACTTTGATCTTGACAACTGTATGCAAGGATGACAGAGATCTGAGAGTACACACTATAAAACACTGGGGAGGGGGGCTGGGGCGGGGGCACTTGCCTGGCATGTGTGAGGCACTGGGTTCAATTCTCAG